AAAACAGCAGGACAATTCTGTAAATGACTTGTTCTAAGCTTAATTGAGTTATGTTTCATAGCTACTGTAATTAAACTAATAAAATATGGCAGTTTTGAATTTACATTTCCTTTTCTACAGAGATTTGTTAAGTTCTTTACATATCAACTGTCAAGAACTGTCCTGATGTTGCTAAAAATCGTTATATAAATGGAAGTATCACACATGGCACTCAGGAATAGAAATAGCTCCACTTCCCTCCTTTGAGTCCGTGCACTTTGGTGTTTCTTCAGCAAAATGAGCATCTCTCTTTGGCTAGGTGCTGCGGCAACAGAAACCTAGAGCTGATTAAAATTTTTCAGGTTATGAGATACCTAAGTTAGAAATGGGAGGTGGGAGAAGTTGTTTGTGTGAGGTTATTTTGATGCTTGGGAGCTGGGTTTGTATTTCCTACATAGCAAATCTTGATTTTTGGTTGGGGAAATAGAGGAAAAACTTATCTCTCTGTTCATTGCCGTATTCAATATCATGAATATTTCAGTTGACCAAAAAAAAAAAAAGAAAAAAGGAAAGAAGAAGAGGTTCCTTTTCTGCCTCCATTACTAGTCCATTGCTGGACGTTTTTGTCACTAGCAGTAAGTATTTGGTATTTCTTCTGCACTGTTTAAATACCTTTTATTTTATTAACATCTATGAGACTCCTCCTGCAGAGCAGAAGAAATTTTCTGCAAACTCTAACTCTGGATATTTTGACCAGTTTTCTCATGGGCCCTGATCCTGCAAGGTCTGTAGCTAAAATGTTTAAAAATTGTGTGAGTAGGGTTTGGAGGGACAGTTTGTTCACTAAGGAGCGGGAATGCAAGCAAAGCCGTAGGAAGGGGAAAAGACTGGCAGAGAAAATCTCCAGACGCACAACTTGTTTCAAAATAGAAATTAGGGAGTTTTCTCCAGTCTCTCCACAACTATTTTTGAAGGAACAGACATGTCCTTTCCCAGCCCTCATGCCATGCTATGCATTTATTTGGGGAACATTCCTTTCACTCATTAAAAAAACAGCTTGACAGCCTGCATTACGAAATACAAAATGTTGCTTCCCTTTTTACGTTTATCTCCCTGCGGCTAAAACTGTACCAGTGCTGTTATGCTCCAGCATCAGGTTGGCTGGACACTCAGAGAAGATGGGAAGTTTCTTCCATAGTAGCTCTTCTCTCTGATGGGCTAGGATAATCGATATGGGTTACACTCCCGGCATTTTATGCCTGTGATGAAAGAAACTGCATTATATTACATCCAACCTCAGTGTTTGCTAGAGTGGTTCAGATCACTGCCTGGACAATGAGGGGAGGGAAACGGTGTTCTATTTTGTTTCTGAAACTCCATCAACAATTTGAATTTCGTAAGTAGCTCAGGCCGATGGCCTAGGAAACGGAACGAATGGAGCTCACCTTCTCCAATGCAAATCGAGGAAGATTTGCGTGACTTCTTCTAACTTCAAAAAGTTAGGAGGAATATCACTCCTTTTGGTCTTCCCACTACACATACAGGCTTGAATTGGTTGCGGAATTTCTCCCTTTCCTTCTTTTTTTTTTTTAATTAAAAAAAAGCCCCAAAGCCTAGAGGCATTAAAATACGTTGCAGGTAAGAGTCGGATCTGACAAGTAATTCCTTATGAAACTTTTATAAATTAGGAATCTAAATTCTTGCTTTTTGCATTTTGAAACCAATTTTGGCTTTATGTATGAGCTTACTATCATTTTTGAAACTTCAGCTAATTTTGACCAAAAAAAGAGAAAAAAAAACAAACTTGGCTTAAAATGCTTCAATGGGCTCATATATTTTTAAGGCAATTTTTTTCTTATTTATTTTTAAATTTTAGATAATGTATTCATTCCCACTTAGAATGGGAGATTATCCCAACAGAAGAAATATTTCCATGCCTTGGTCTGGGACCAGCTGCACCTCAGTCAGTTGGCACCTCTTGCAGAGGTAGACACATATGACATGGACTAGACATCCCCAGATAGTGACGGAGATTCAGGTGTCTCTGCTTGTGGCTGTGCTGGACCCAGTTTACTTTCTGTGCTTTGCTGGTGTCATTCAGATGCCCATAATCTTAGGGATGTGCCAGAGGCTCTGCACGCAAAGTCCACAGGAGCTGATCAGAGCCCACCACGAGGATCCCAGCAGTATGACAGGAGATGAGAGAGGTCAGACACAGGAGTAGGTTGAGCCATATTAAGATGCACGATATTAAAATGAATTTTTGCCCTGAGGCATTGAGCATGACTCCCCTCCATGGCCTGGTGGGAAGTCCTCATATTCTGGAAGATCAAGGCAAACCTAGTGCTGGGTCAAGTGAGCCTCTCTCTTGCACTCCATTTGCACTTGCAAAAGCAGTGCAGATATCCATGGATTTTGCCCTTCCTGCAACAGGTGCTAACAAACCCTGACCTACAGTGTGGCTATATCTTCCCTGGCCGGAGACTGTGTCGCCCTCTCCAACTCTGCAATGCCAGAGGGCAGAACTGATGCCCGTCTTACCTTGGATGGCACAGGGAGATGGCGACTCTCTGCCTGAAACATCTGCTGATATGACCTGCAGTTTTGTGGGAATCTTTTGTTGTTTAAAGGAGAGCTAAAGTCCGGATTCTGATCTCTGTGCAGATTTCAATCCTTACTTCGTTCGTCGGCTCACTTCTAGACTGGCACTAGGAGACAACATCTAAGGAGCACTAATTAAATTTACTGTTGCCTTGCTCTAGCAAAGCAACTCCGCAACCTACATATGTGCTGAGGTTAGCAGGAGGCTTAAAAATAAGGTAAATACAGTTTTGAGGGGAAGGGGTGGAGAAAAATTAAAGCTTTGATCTAGTGTCCTTGGTTTCGGTGACAGGCACTCACTGCTACAAAAATGAAAGTTGGGACTTTCAAAGGATCTTTTTGGAGACTGCAGATGCACTTTGGTCCTTTTAATTTAATCAAGACTCCTTTGAAGGTGGCAGCCAAAATGCACTTTCTACAAATACATTTGGTTTTGGTAAAGTGTAGACTTCTGTTGGTCACAGAGGTTGATCTGATAAAATTAGAAAAAATAAAGCAGGCGAGAAACCCCGAAACTGAAGTATTTGCAGAACAGAAATGTTTAAGAACGATGCTCCATTTTCCTTGGAAGCTGGTGCTGCTGAAAAATTGCACCCTCCCTCCCCCCGGCCAAGGTCTGCTCTTGCTACAACTGTAGGAGGGATAAAACATAATTTCCAACCAAAAACAACTATCCTCATACCTCAGTTTACAAGAGTTGAAACACTGCTGGAGTTGGAAACAGGCTTTTCTCTTCCCACATACTTATAGAAGTAATTTGAACCATGGCTTCTGCATTTGTATGAAGCAAGAAAAGAGTGAGAGGGGCTGTGGACTGTGCACACATGCTACATCTATGCTACGTGTTAGCATCAGGCACGGATCAGATTATCATCTGCAGTGAATTAACACTGCTCTGTTAAGTGTGTTAGTGGCAGACTCAGCTGACATCCTTTAGATTCAAACCTACACCTGCCACAGTCTGGATTTTTGGTCCTAGGCAATATTAGAGATTAGATCTGGATTTCATCCCTCCCTAATACTCAGGATAACAGCAGTGCGTTCAATGGCTTTATATGGTTTGGCAAAAGTGTCATTTGGGTTGGCAGAAACGTTGCTTCTCAAAAAGGAAAAAAACCCTAAGTTGATTATTGAAATGAAGGGTTATTCCAATGAAATGAGGCCAAAACTATTAACTGAATTCATTTTGAAGTTGGTGAATTTGGGTTACTTGCAAACCCTGTATCTTTTGGCAAGTTATCTATTCCCCCTCAGCTCCAGAGAATATAAAGCCTCTGCACATCACCTGCTTTGCCTCCAGCATTTCAGCATTTTTTGCTTGTTATATTTTCACTTGCTAACCATTTTCTGAAGCTGCAGGGCTTGAGGGTAAAAATTTGGTGATGAGAGCATTTTTTCTAAACACAGCTTGCATTAATCATGGTTTTGTCAAATAATCATATAATACATGGTGTATGAACACACTAGGAGTTCATGTAAAGTTTTTATTGCCCTCTGTTGTCAAAGTTAGATCAAGATGCTCTCCAGAAAGAAATCCCCATAATTTGTAAATAGAAGAGTTTACACTTCATTGAAGATCAAAGAGGAAACCATCTCGATCAAAAACAATCCTGTGAATTTGGCTTTCATTTTTCTCCCCATAGCCAGCAGCTTTGGGCCAATATCTCATCCTCCGTCTTTGAACAAGTGCTATTAAAAAGCAAATGAAAAATGCTTGCCCTATAGGAAGTGCTTAAACAGGAAATTTACCTCTGTTGTTATTTCCCAGTTATTACAAAATTGGCTTTGGCAGAGAAGAGAGAAGCAGAGCAGTGAAGTGCTCCATCCTTTCTCTTCATCTTAAACACCTTTCGGACTCTGACCCAAGGAGAGCAGCTAGCTACAAGCTGAGGCGGGGACGATGGCTGACTTGTAATTTTGATACCAGCTACTCAAACTGAGAAAGAAGGAGTAAAAGCAAAAGAGGTCACAGGTCTGTAACACTGACAGTAACACACAGGTGAAGGATGCTTTCAACATTGTAAACTATATACAGGATAAAGCAGGACTCTCTCTTTTCCCAAAGAATGCAACAACAACAAAAATGTATATACAACACAGTTGGCACATTATCGTGGAGTTGAGGAAAGAGAGCTTTTTCTGAATCTCACAGGCTTAACTGACGGCAATCTGGAGGACAGTTCATCTGTCTAAATATACATCCTCTCCCCCTTCCTCGTTAAATATTTAGCAAAGACCAGGCTGATAGCAATGTCTGATACAATCGTGGTGCTAATTAAGATGCTAATAAATGCAAAGTTTTCCCTGAACGGGAGCACCTTACTCCAGGAAGAGCTGAGGATGGGGGGTTCAAGGTGTGACATATCTAGTGCCAAACTTCCGGTGCATCTTCTTGTGGGTGACGGCAGCTCATCTTGCAGTCAGTTGGGTAGAGTGTCAAGCCCAAGGGAAGCTGCGTGCTGCTTTGCCCGGAGCCTGAGGTTCTCAATACTTGTCGTTTTACTGTTCAGGCTTGGAAGGGAGTTGGAGGCCTGCAGGATGGGTGAGGACCAGACCTGCTGAGCGTGGGAGAGTGACTGGTAGTAAGACTGACAGTGCAGAGAGCTCAGCGGCGCCATGTTGACATTCATGCCCAAGTAGGGCATGGCAGACGGTGTCCCCATTTCAAAGGAGGAGTAATGCACCAAGTTGTTGGTTGCCGCCATGTGCTGGCGAAATTGCTCCTGCAGGCGGAAGAGGCTCAGAGGCGAAGAGGAGTAGGAGTGGGTCTGAGCCAGGCTGCTGCTGGATGAAGGCGTCACAGTTGCACTGAGAGGAGACTCTGTAGCAGGAAGCAGAGGGGATAGGGGTTATTTCTACAAGCCGGATGAAAGCACTAATCCTTGTCCAGGTAAGGTTTGGACAACAGCATGGTTCTCTCCCCAGAAATGCATTGGGAATGCACCACAAAAGAGATGGGTTGTGTTAGCTCAGGAGAGCTAAAGCATGTCTGTGTGTTACGCTGAGCACCCTAGTTCCTAGAAATGGGTCTGCCCTTTTTCCTAGTGCTTTCCTGCTGCCACTAGGCACTGTTTTCCTCCCAAGCTCTAACTTGAGCAGAAGGTTTTTTTCCCCTCTCTGCTACAATAGAGGTCAGGCCTTCCACAGGCTCCCTTTAGTGCTGGCACCTAGTTTGGGCAGCCTACCTGCAAGATCCCATGCTCTAGGGAATAAAGGGCTATATCCAACCACTAGCATTCCCTTGGGAAAAGCCAAGTCCTGACACCGATGCTCCACCGATGCTGCCCCTCACCTGCTTTTGGGCTTGCTCTCTTGCAGTTCAAAGCCTTGCCATCCACACCAGGACTCTTGTCTGCTTTAGCCTCTTCCAAGGTGGTCTTGAACTCCTCCTCTCTGTCTGTCTGGTCCTCAGGTGCTGATTCGCTGGCCGACTGCTCTGAAAGGGTTAGGTTGAGCTCCACGCTTACCTCACTTGGGAGGTTCTGGGCCTTTTCGGCCTCTGGGGTGGTGGCCTGGGTCTCCAGTACAGGTGCCTCTGTCTTTCCTTCGCTGTGGCTCCCTTCACAGTCCTTTTGCTTCTGCAGCTGCTCCTTCTGCAGGCTGCGCTGCTTCTTCCGGAATTTGGCCCTCCGATTCTTGAACCAAACCTTCAGTGCCACAAATGGCAAGGAAAGAAAAGAGGTGAAAATCCTGCTTAGTGCCAAGCTCGGCATCATGCAGCCTGGAAGCTTCAAGGGAATCCCAAGTAATTAGGTACTGCAAGCCCATGGTACCCAAATGTCAATCCACTTGGTTGGACCTTAGAGCTCTGCCTTCTTTTAGTGTTTGTACAAATAGCACAATAAATATATATATTTTTTAATTACAACCTCTATATTGGATCTTTAAGGAAAAATCTTTTCTTTTTTTTTTTTTTTTTTTTTTTTTTTTTTTTTTTTTTCTCTAAACTGGTCAGATGGTCAGGATGGCTTATAGCTGAGTCTGAAGAAATTACATTGGCTGAGAGTACAGTGCTGTCAGTTTCTAAAAACATCCTATTATCAGTGTGCCAAAACTAGAGGAAACAGCCGAAATAAGTCATTACAGCTATAAGCTGATGTCTTGAAATCGGATCTAGGGGATGGGGGAGAATCTATAGTTTTTAAATAAAAATCTGCAGACATGGATTGGAAGAAATACCTTTGCAATTTATGTTAGTGTTGACTGGCTAGTTAGACCAGGAAACAAAAATTCTGAAGGTCAAAAATATCTTGACATCTGTATAAAAGAAATGAACTAACTTTTTTCCTAGAGCTACCGCTTATCCACTTCACACAGAAGAACTTGCTATTTAGTCTTTTAAAGTCACAACAGTGTAAGAACCACCTCATCAGCAGGTTACAAAGCACGTTGCAATAGTTGAAACTAAAAAAATAGGAAATCTTGGCCTGAAATGTTACAAATATTGATGCTGGTGGAAACGAGCAGCTGGAATTACTTGGATTTCTGCTTCTCTAAGAAAGCCAGAAAAATCTCACAAATAAATAAATAAGTAGACTTCTGTTGATGTTTCTAAAACTTCCACCAAAGAAATGTGAAATGACAAATGAAAACCAGCGTACAGTTCAGACAAACCTAAATTTAAAAAATGTGCTGGTGGATTAAGAACTTTTTTAGCAGATGTGTGCCTTGGGTTGAATGGTTTGGGTTTTTTTTTTTGTCCTCTTTGACAGGTTTATCTGCCCAAAAATCTTTGGTTATGCTGTAAGAATCTTGAAAGACCTATAGAGCTGGTCAACCCTCTGGGAACCTCACAGTATCCTTTAAAACGTCCCCACTAACAAAACCACAAAATCGGTACCTGTACTCTGGCTTCAGGTAGATTTGTGCACATAGCCAGCCGCTCTCTCATCACCACATCTGGATAATGAGTCTTCTGGAAGGTCTTCTCCAGGGCCTCCAGCTGTTGGGCTGTGAAAGCCGTGCGACTTCGCCTTTGTTTGCGATGCTGGGATCCATAACGTGCCTCCAAAATGATGTCTTGAAATGTACAGCCGTTGGAAGACAAGAGAAGTGGCCAATTTAATTATTGGAATTTGTATGCTGACAGTTGAATAAAACACTTGATAACAATACCAAATGAACCTACATAACAAGTGTTTTTGTGGCATTTTAGATCTGAAAAAGCCTGTGCATGCATTTTGCTAGTAACACAGGTGTCTGAGGAGATAAAACCTCTGACTAGGAATCTTCTTCTGGAGTGACAATCTTTCTATGACAGCTATGGGGACTTTTGAGACTCCTGCGCTACATTTGGTTGAAATAAGCCAACAAAAGTTAGGGGGGCAGGACATACAGGTGCACAGATCCCACTATGAGATAAACATCGTTCATAGGAAACACAATAAAAAACAAGGGACTCCCTGTCATAATCAGGAGAGGGGCCCAACGTTACGTGTCACGTTCTCAGTGAAGACAAAGGCAGAGCTCCGGTAGGCTTCAACGCTGCAATGAAACTCAGTGCTGATCAGTGGGAAGTGCCCATGCAGCTCGAACACAGCTGCCTCGAGCCTGTTGTGTTGGCTGCAGCTGCATTAGAAGGCATGCATCTTCCCAGAAACCAGGCTGAGTCGGCTCTTCTTTAGGGTCTTGTATGTCACTTATTGTAGTGTTCAAGGCGTGATATTGGAGAGCTGTTCTGGGCTCCGGTTCAGGAAAGCACTTAAGCTTATGTGCTTATGTCTGTTTAGCTTGAAAGCACGTGCTTTACTGAGCACGGATACTCTCCAGCATCTGGGTTGGAAAAATCAGCCAGGAAGCAAACCCAGCCCCACTGATTGCAAGCCCAGAGCTCCCGCAGTACACCTTTCACAGTAGAGGAGCTACTCAGAAGGTCTGACCTTGCAAACTGTGCTTGCAAAATTGAGGGCAGAGAAGAAATTCAGGCTGGGGAAAATCTGAGTCCCACAGTAAGGGCTTATTATTTTACCACAGGCGTTATGCTTTCACAACAGCTAGTTGGAGTAGAAAGATCGCCTTAAATCAATGAAAATAAGCTATTTTAAAATGAAAAAAAAAGCCTTTATTATGCAAGTTGGGACATGTTGTGCTACAGAGCTGGAATGAAATATTCGCTCTTGTGAGAGGTTTGCTCTCAAAGATGAAATGCAGAAAGAGCTTTAGCAGTGTCTGGTATTGTTTTTAATTTAGTTAAGACTATGACTTTGAGTAAAAGAGGGGTATAAAAACACTAGAAAACAACCTAACAGGGGAAAAAGTCAGCATTATCAGTGCACAGAGCCAGATGAAGGCTCTTGTTGCTGTTTATTTGCGCTTTTGTCACGAGTATCATGGCATGAATGTAAACAATAAAACAAAACCTGCTGTCAGGTCAGTCCCAGAACTGCACAGCCAGGTTCCAAATATGTTAGCTAATGAGCGTAGCAAATCAGCTTTGCACTGCTCAAGCATTCCTCTCCCAAACTTCCAGCTGTTTCATTCTAGGTCAGCATTTGCAGAGCCTTTCTGGGCTGTTGCCAAAGCAGTGTGGCTTTGGAGACCTGGAAAAGATGTGATTGGGCTAAAGGTCTTTGGCCAAATACAATACAGTGTTGGTTGCATACAAGAGACTTTTGTATTCAAGGTGTCAGAACTCTTGGGGGAATTAAAACACTGGTAATAGTTGCTGCCACTTTGGGAGGCAAAGACGGCATCCGTTATGCATTCAGAAGCAACGCACAACGCACCCAGGCTAGGAAAAGGAATGTTCCAGGACAAGAAATAGAAGCTACCCTGAAATGTTTTACAAAGCTAACATTTATGCTTCAAGTACAAGAAGTCAGGAGAAAGGACATTGGTTTAACACCCTACCTGCAGGCTGGAATATTCCCAAACTCCTAGAGTAGAGGTTAGACCTATCAGCTCCCCAGAGGTGGCAGCTCATGCATTCAGTTTGGCTACGCGAATGAAAGCTAAACAACAATTATTTTAATGTTTTAACAATGTTTTCAGGCTTTTTGCAAGAAGGAGAATATAAATTGCAGGTGAGGCTTTGCAGTTAAAATCAGAAACCTCTGTTTTCTGACTTAAGGTCGTTTGCTTTTGTGCTGCTTTATTCTGACTGTCCCTGGAAGGCAAATGAGATCTATAACCCTGCACTAAAAGATATTCAGAGCTAACAAAATGTGAAGTAACTGCAAAGGAACTGGCTTGTAGGTATGTAATGCCTACCCCACCAAAGATAAGGAGATCACAAGGGGACAGCGGGGTTTAATTTGGTGACACTCTTCCAAGTGGGTTATTAATTTTAAAGATAAGAGATCAGAAAATCAATTGAATTTCCTGTCAGAGAATATGAGAATATCTCTTCCATTTCTCCGTCTCCCTCTGCTTTTTCCCTAGTTAGGGTCAAAGACATTAAGTCCTCCATGTTCTATAGTAAAAGGTGCAAGTGATCAGAAAAATCTTTCAAAAGATTTTTGTGTCTAGGGATGGGCCACCAAATGCCCAAAGTCTGCAAGGCACATTACAGTACTTGGGACCATCCATTCCCACCCAATCACCTGCAAGCTGAAAGTGTGAGGGAAGGAGAGGATGGATGACCAAGACAAGGAAAGTGCCCACCTGTCATCACTCTTCAGGCCAATGACAGAACCAGGATTAGAGTCTAGGTCTCCTTGATCCCACTTTGATTCCCTTTTGTTGAGGACAGTGATTCCCCAGCTCCATCCTACAGGCCCCCAGGCATCTCAGAGGCCACAGTGAGTGACCTGAGGAACCATGTGAAGAAGGTCACTAGTAGCATTTTCTTCATAAAGTGGATAAGGGATCGTGGCTGACAAGAAGACTTGACAGTCAACAGTGGTCTGTTGATTCAAAAAGACTGAGACCCTTGCATCTTGCTTTCATGGAACACCCACCTAGGAGGACTGGCCTGAGACTTTTGTGTCCCTACCTTGACTTAAGCCTACGTCTCTTAAATTCAGCCTACTAAAGTTGTCTGCGTAGATGACTCTTTCCACTTACTCTAGGCTGGAAAGAGTCACTCCCGAGCTTTTTTCCAAAATATCAGAAATCTAGGAAGCTAGATTAAAGCAGATGCTTAATTTTTAGACAGTCCAGGGAAGATGAGCCCACTCTTGGAAGGTCTCTAGAATCACATCTACAGTAACTTTTCACTTTAGCTTTGCTATGTTGGTACAGTGCTTCTCCACTTCACCTATAGTTAGGTCTGGTCTATTATGCTGCATCCAAGCCCTGACCAAAACTGCGATTTGTATCTGTTGATCATTTGCACTGGAGTAGCCAACCCTTAACGATTTCAGATAGATCTAGGTGTGCGGTGGTAGGCTGAAATGTAGAGCAGATATACTCACCCTGCCTTGCAACATAACCTCTGATCTCTGTCAACTATTTTTGAACAATTCCTCCTACCAAATCATAAAATACTACGTGGACTTTGCAATTCCTTTTAATGGCAGTATTGTTGTAGCACTATTACAATCGTGGCTAAACATGGGAAACAGACCAGATACAAGACACTCGAGCAGTGACTCTTGTTCCAGTGTCCTGCCAGCAACAAATCCATGTGAAAAACACTCACTGGGTAAAGTCACATGTGACTTTCTTTGGACTTAAAGAAGTTTATTTAATGAAGGCAAAACACAAGAGCAAAAGACAGAGCAGGACCTTCAAGCGTCACCCAAGCCAATGTCTAGGATTTCCTGAAGAAATAGGTCAAGGTGAGACCCAAGAGAGGATCCAAATGAAGAAGACCTTTTTGCAAGAGAAAAGAGTGCTTGGTGGGACAGTAGTTTGGAAAGTAGTTTGAAGAAGGGGCAGCATAGAAGGAGCAGGAATTTGCCTATAGCCTAGGATGGCAGGATACGGTTTGCAGGGAATGCAAGGCCTGGGCCCCTCGGGGAAATCGAAATCACTACATGCTCATGTTCATTGTGCTGTTACTAGTGACAAAGTCAGTCACAGAATCGCAGAATCGTTTAGGTTGGAAGGGACCTCTGGAGATCATCTAGTCCAACCTCTCTGCTCAAGCAGCATCCTCTAGAGCATATTTCCCAGGATCACATCCAGATGGGTTTTGAATATTTCCAGGGAAGGAGACTCCACTACCCCTCCGGGCAACCTGTTCCAATGCTCTGTCACCCTCACAGTGAAGAAGTTGTTTCTCAGGTTCAGATGGAACTTCCTGTGGTTCAGTTTCTGCCCATTGCCTCTTGTCCTGTTGCTGGGCACCACAGAGAAGTCTTTGTGGCATTTATTGGTTGCCGGTTAAAACAGATTACAGTGTCCTTTTAAACCTATCCTTTTAATACCATGTAGTGGCACCATGTTCCCTCTTGCACCCAGGCTCCCCAGCTTAGAAGGCCAGTCCGGAGCAAACTGCAGCAGCCAGTGTGCAGCAAACGCTGGAGGGCACGTGTCGTTCATACAGTATGGCCTATACGTGTGATATATGGGATTGCCAATGTTTGTCATCAAGGAGTTAACAGGTGAAATGCTGCCACTCCTAGAGATCTAGCCAACACCTCCATGATTTAAAAGCATGCTGCCTTCCCTCCTCTCCTGCACAGGGCTCAGTAGCTCTCTAGCCAGGGCACTCTGTGGTGCACATAGGCTCGTCCTTTTCCCACTGTGCCCGTTTGCTAAGTCACACTCCAATCTGCTTAAAATTCCCTGCTGAGGAAGAGTTTTGCTTGATAAAAACAAGCATTTTCCCCAGGGAATTGCAAAAGCCATAAGTTGTTCTTACCAGCCAGTCTCTCTGCCAGAGTGAGGGCGTGCACTGAGGGTCTGTAATCGGGGGCGTGTTGGGCTTGCTGAGCTGCCTGCTGATGCAGGTTGTACATGGCGCTCAGTGAGTTCATGGCATGAAGGGAGTAACCGTTCACTCCATAGTGCTGCATGGCGACATAAACCTGAAAAACAAGAGCCAGCAGGAGAGAGGTGCTTAGCAACATGCCATTCCAGTGTCCTGATGTCCCAGCAGAGCCTTGAAAACACTGACCTGAAATGTAAACTGAGGCATGCAAGGGTCACTTCCAACTGCCTGACTCCAACAGATGCAAACTAGTTCCTGCAGACCAGGAACCTAAAGCACCAATGACACCAGTCTGGCTTCCAAGCTGATGAGAGATCAGCATCTGACTATCTCCTAGAAGAGATATACTGAACAAAATATGGGACAGGATTTTCAGGACTGTTAGGTACATGCCGTCATAAAATGCATTATATTACCACCTTTAATGAATTGATCAAGCTTTATCCCAGAACCAGCTGGGATTTCGTCCCCGTCATTGCCTGCGGTGGGCTGTTTCACAGTCCTGTTGTCATAATGTCAAAGTGTGTCTTATCCGCACACATTCATGTGTAATTTATTTCCATTTACTCTTCTTAAGGGTCTTCTTAACAAAACACAAATGGTAGGCAAAAAAAAAAAAAAAAAGCTTGTGATGTAAAGAAAAATAAATCTGTAGTGTAATAGGGCCAAAAATGTCATGGCTAAAGGGAGAATTAAAGTTTGCAATAAATACTGTAGTCTTATAGTTCAACAGCAAGGAAATTATTTGAAAAACTCTTTTTTTTTTTTTTTTAACTGTGGGCTCTGTACAAAACTTCAAGCTGTTTTTCCTTACAGACCATCTGTAAAACTGAGCCAATATTGGTCTCAAAAGCTGAATGATGCTCCATTCATCCATGTTACAAATGACTAAGGACCTCCAGGATGTTCTTTCCCTGCTTTATAAGACATCAGAAGGCAAGAGGTGAAACATTTACCACCAAAAAAAAATTCCAAAATAACATTCACACTAGCAAGTCATCGACCAGAAAGTCAATGCAACAAATGACCATTCAGAGACAGAAGAGTTCCAGCTGAGCTAATGTAAGGAAAGCAGACAGGTTATCTATGCAACCTCTTAAAAAGTAGTTTTGATCCTTGGAGGGAGTTGGTTCAGCTCCCATGTCTTTCAGGGGAACCTGATGCATTGAACTGCAAAACTTCTGTGTAGCTATTAGAATGAAAAATTAATTGCTGTTTTTTCCATAATAAGGACTCTCAGATCTCATCCTCATGCCTAAAGACTTCCTTTCTGCCTGAGGAGCACCTGTACCGTGGAGGAGGAGACCTCAGTGAAGATGGAGGAGTGGAAGCACATGAACGTGAACCTCTGGGGCGGGGCTCACCTGGGTCACACTACCTCCCTTGCTAAGATCTCCCCTTTGCTCCCCACCACTGTGAGGTAGTAAGTGCAAACCTGGAGTGACCTTGTTTAACATCCAGAGACCAAGCTGCTAGTTCCTGGAAAAGAACCAGCTAATTCCTGTGCTATGTGCTATGACTGACAATGAAACGGGGCCCCTTCCAACCTCCACCTCGCAAGCATCTCCCACTCACAGTGCCTGGGAGCAAAGGAGGAAAGCCTTGTGGTCTGGATTTTGGTGAAACTCCCTGACACCTCAGAGATGTTCCTCGTTGCTCTAGGTTCTTTTCTTTTGACTAAGGGATTTTGTGAAGCCATGAGCAAGATCCTTTGGGGTGGTCCTCTCAATGAGGCTGCAATAATGATGTACCAATAATTCAAGAATCTACCACCCAACCTCACTCTTGTTTCCCAAAATCCCTTGCGCTGCCATCATTTCATCTCAGTGCCAATAGCGCTCATGGAGGGCAACAGATCCGGATACGGTTACACCAGGGAGATCCGACACAGAACCTAACGCAGCCTTCATCTGCTTTGGGCCTTCCTATTCACCCACTCTAGATTCATTCCCAAATTAGTCTTCAGTTTTAGACTCCAAAAAAGCTTAGTGGCTTATCCGCACCCATTTCCCACCTTGCTCTGCACAGACGCAAGGCACATCCCTATGGCACATGGAGAGTGCTACCGGTGACATCCTTTCCTGGGCAAGCAAAAAGCACAAGCAAAAAAACTCTTCCCTATTTTAAACCATGGAAAGACAATTTTTACATGAATAGATGAGTTACTGAAAAATGCATCGAAGTGGGGAAGGGGACCTGAAATCTATTTTGTAACTGTTTCTGGAAAACCCGAGACGGGGAATGAAATCCAATCTGTTTTGTTTCTATATATGCAAGCAATTAACTTTGATTTCATTTTCAAAATGCTTCATTTCAAAATTTACCCAAGTTTTATTTTCAGAAAAGACATCCCCAAACTATAATAATCTGTTCAGCCTTCATCTATACCTTATTATGGTTTTATTCATTCTAATGGGGAAGAAAGAACAAGCCAACACTGTTTTGAGTTGAGCCACTGGGATGACAGATATTTTTGATGCAGATGCTCTCCTAAACACAAGGATAACTCTGCTCTAACACAGCTTAAGGAAGACTTAAGCAATGAGAAAATTTAGTTGGTTCTCTGTTCAAGGTGAAGAACTTCACGTGCCAACAGTTTTTTGGCATTTGTATTTTCCCCACTACAGATGCACAACAATATTACTTTGGAAACACTGCAGTTCTGGAGTGCATGGATTTGATGCTCTGGCCAGGAGCTGGGAAAGCAGGCAGGTGAAAAAGCTTTGCTCTCCCTTTTGCTGTTTGCAGCACATGCTGCAGGGCGGGAGGGGTCCTGGTGACCCGTACAGCTGGTGTGGGACCAGAGGTGACGTCCTGCGACCCATGGGAAGGAAGGGCCTGGCTAGCAGCCGAGGGATCGCAGAGTCTCTGGCAAAGCCTCACCCGGTCTGTCCCCTGGGCAGCTGCTCCCCATGAGCATCATCCCTCCCCAGCAGTGGGAAGCCACATCCCGCAGCCTCGCACACCGGCCTGACTTTGCAGATGGGAGCACCCAGCGCGTATGGATCCCGGCACAGCCAGGCAGGGGAAGCTGGCCAGAGCCATTCTCTACTGTGCTCTTCCAGGTTAGGAGCAGGACCGGCATTTCTGACCCCACAGAAGCAGGGAAACAGGAATTTTACAACATCGCTTTGTCTCCTCCCTTGCCACCCTCTAACTTTTGAACCGGCAGACCAATTTCACCAGCATTGGCCAGCCCGGTGGAGGTCTCAAAGCTTATTAAGTTCCTGTGCATGTTGCGAAAACCCATCGAGGACACAGAACCTATTAGCTGCTCTGGGCTGCTGTCAGACCTCAGTCCTTAACAGACGCTAGAGAATCCACGCTGGGCTCAGCCTTGCCAGGAGGTATGTGGGAGGCCAAGTGGCTTTGGCTCCCATACTCACAGAAATGCCTGTTTGTTTTCTAATCCCCTTTGCATGCTGCTGTTTGTATACCACAAGGGCACATTCGGCAAACAACAAGAGGAGGGGAATTCTCCCAGAATATGCAGTCCTCCGAGGACACAGCCAATGATCTTGGGTTTGGAGCCCAGTGTTTCCACTGAAACACTTTCCTCAGGAATATCTCCTTTTATTTGGTTGTTAAAAACTGATTTTGTATATGCACATTTGGACAAACTCTCCCGGGTGGCCTAGAAGAAAATGTATTAATAATAATAATAAAGCAGGGATCTTAAAAAAAAAAAATAGTGACAGATGCATGAAGACAGTCAACATACCTCACAGCTTTAGTGATAATTGCCTGGCGTGCTGCAGTGCAGTCAGCAAGCAGAACTTTCTAGTCACTTGTGCAGTAAATGCATCATCCCAGATTCAGTGTAAAAAATGGGGAAAAAAAGGAGATATCCTGTATTTACTGAGTTAGACTGTTCAACCCAATAGGCAAAGTTAGCTGAGACCGCAAACAATTCCTATTTAACTGTCAGCTCTGAGCACACTCCAACCCCAATAAATTAAATATTTAAAAGACATCATGCAGCAATTTTTTTTAATGGAGAAAGCCATTCATCAAGCCACTACTGTGTTTCATAAACTGTCGAATAGTGCTTACACTGGTTAAAATAATCTTTATATTTCATTAAGCAACCAAATAAGCTGATCCCTCCCCACTGGCTGTATAGATGGTTTTAATTTTCAAAATCTGCAAATGCATCTTTTATGTCTCTGTTGGCTGGAGGGCCTAAGGAACAAGAGCAACCGGAAGGAGGATGAGAGCAAAGTCTGAGCTTCTGCTTTGTGGAAAGGTATGGCCTCGAGTGGTTATTGAAGCAGCTGGGAGGGTAGCACAGGGCCCACCGGGATGGAAAAGGGATGTTTCACCCCGCTTGAGTGCGGCAGAGATGCAGACTGAGAAAGGGCGCGGGGCAAGGACAGATGGACGAGAGGCAAACACATACGTAGGAGGAGGTGAGCGCTGCTTCGCCCATGCCGAGAGCCACAGGAGGCTGGAGCTGACCCGCTGTGAGCGCATGGCGCATGCGGCACCAGGGCTGCTGCCTCCCGGGCAGGCGCTTCCCTTCCCCATCGAGTCTTCAGCAGCCCAAGGCTTGCTTCTCTCTTGGCCACCCACGCTGTCTGGGCTCACCTCTTCTCCCCAAGCATACGACCTGTCTTGCTATAAGGGCCCCATCCCTCTGTCGCAGTCTGCCAAGATCTGGCCTCAGAAAGAGGACCGGGAGGAATAAACGAGTGTTCCCCCAGCTCTCACCATCCCGGCTATGGGAAAGCCAGGTTTCTCCACCCTCCGCATTATTAGATGCCAGGCAAGGTGCGTCTCTGCCCACCCCAGGCTGACCCTGGGAGCACATCACTATCAGCTGCTCGGGTTCAATCCAATGCAAAACATGGCACATGTACGGGCCAGAACCTCCACAGCAGCGTTGCTGTTCCTGCTGCACCGCTGCTCCCAGTTGCCCCTTCCCAACAGCCGCCGTGAAAACTGCAGGCTCCCGTAATGAATGCCGTAACATCAGAGCAGTGCAAGTCCTTTTATGCCACTTGCCAACACAGCATACAAGGGGAGATTTGGCCCAGGACTTCAGAGTAGTATCATCTGCCACTAAGACTAGTGTCAGCTGGCCTG